TCTTTTCCATACAATTAATTATATATACAATCCTTAGAATTTTAAGGCTCTTTGAACCATGACAGGTGACGTCACCTTGTTTAGTTCATCTTTTTTCGGGGAAAGAACCGACCAAGTCACTCCGCCTAATGCAGAGCCTTGCCTACCCGCGCACGTTCGCTCAGCTGCGATCGGTTCCATGCGCCCTGCGCATTATTGCAAATTCACGGATTGCTCGCGCCTACACCTCAAAATTGCTGACCGTGTCGCCAGCCCTCCCCGAGCTCTTTCCGCAAACCATCGTCCTCTCCAACGGCGCGACCTACACCGTACGCACGACCTCCCCGCGCTCGCAGATCCGGCTTACTAGGGACACGCGCAATCACCCCCTGTGGAATCCGTCCAAGGTCAGGGCTAACCTGAAGGACGAGAGCGAGCAGCTGGTCAAGTTCACCAAACGGTTCAGCGATCTGGAAGATCTAACAGACGTGTCGTTTATCAAAAGCGAAGAAAATGTTTCGGCCGCGATGAAGAAGGCAGTGGCGAATTCGACGGCTCAAAAACGGAAGACAAAGGGGAAAAAGTAGTTGGATGTGGGCAATGGACAGATATTTTGCTGGTTGGATTGGAGGTTGTTTTTTTTTTTTTAAAAAAAAAAAAAAAGGGGGAGGGAGGGGAGGGGATAGATAAAATACAGTAAAGGATGATTTGTATCTTGTGCATGCCTCATAACTTTTCGAAACCCGCCGGTGAATACAAAAACTAGACACATATTATTTCTGGTATGGCCAGAAAACAAGCATAGAGGAGGAGCACATTAAAAATTGTAACTGGCACTTGAATTACACGTGTGGGTTGGTATATCAAGAATTTTGATACGCAAAGCTACCAGTGTCGAGTAAGAAAAAAAGAAATGGCTGCATACTTGTACTGAGCTTGTGTCTTCGAGATTCCAAAATAAATACCTAATTAAAATACGTTATCATGATAATCACTTGAGATGTATAATATTAGCGATGGGAAATGTATTTATTGTATTTCCACTTTACACCGTTATCCACTTAGCTGCTATTAGCTAAAATGCCAGAATGGAATGGAAGTATGAAAAAAATGATGCAGACGAAAGAAAAAAAGAGAAAAAATGTGACAAAAGTTTTACATAGAAAGGCGAATATACGATGGGATTGTATCATTGCCAGTTTTTGATTTTTACGCGCACTTCGCACAGCAAATTATCTCCTCCCAACTCAACCAACATGCATGCTTTTCGTTCGCTTAATCCACCTGCTCCATCGACGACTCAACCTCTTCCAGCTCCGGCACGTTCTCCGTAGCTTCCACAATTGGCTCATCAGTATCATCGATCGAAAGACCCAGCTTGATCATTTTGTGAATGCGAGCGGCAAACTCGTTGGGGTTATCGAGTGAGAAGCCCGAGGTGAGAAGAGCGGTCTCAAAGAGAAGGGTGGTGAGGTCCTTGACGGTGCGATCGTTCTTGTCGGTCGCCACCTTGTCCTTGAGAGTCTTGACAATCGAGTGCTGAGGATTTAACTCCAATGTCTTCTTGCTCATCATGTAGGAAGACATGGAAGAGTCACGGAGGGCCTGGGCCTTCATGATACGTTCCCTAATTGTTAAGGAAAAGCAAGTTTATCAGTCAGTATTCATGTTCCGGATTTAATATAAAATTAAATAAATAAAAAAAAGGTAGGGTGAGCTAAACGACTTGTAGGAAAGGAAATTAATACTCACATATTAGCGGACCAGCCGAATTGTCCCGTAACCAATACACAAGGTGAATCCGAGATACGGTTCGAGATGACGACCTTCTCAACCCTGTCACCCAAAATCTCCTTAACCTGTTTGGTCAGCTCCTCGAACTGCTTCTCCTCATCTTCGCGCGCCTTCTTCTCCTCCTCATCTTCCTCAAGCTCCAGACCTTCCTTGGTGACACACACGAGCTTCTTGCCATCATACTCCTTGAGCTGGGTGGTAGAGTACTCATCAATCGGGTCGGTCATGAGCAGGACCTCAAAGCCCTTCTTCTTGAGAACCTCAAGGAAGGGTGAATTCTCAATGGCACCGCGGCTCTCGCCGGTGATGTAGTAAATGTTCTTTTGCTTCTCCGGCATGCGCGTGACGTAGTCCTTGAGCGAGGTCAACTCGTCACCAGACTTAGTAGAGGCGTAGCGAAGAAGATCGGCGAGCTTCTGGCGATTCTGCGAGTCTTCGTGGATACCGAGCTTAATGTTCTTGGAGAAGGCCTCATAGAACTTGTTGAAGTTTTCCTTGTCTTCGGCGATCTCGCTGAACATCTCGAGGGTCTTCTTGACGAGATTCTTGCGAATAACCTTGAGGATCTTGTTCTGTTGAAGCATTTCACGCGAGATGTTGAGAGGAAGATCTTCCGAATCGACAATACCCTTGACAAAGTTGAGCCATTCGGGAATCAGCTCCTCGCAGTCGTCCATGATGAAAACGCGACGGACATATAGCTTGATGTTGTTGCGCTTCTTCTTAGTCTCGAACATGTCAAAGGGCGCACGCTTGGGAACAAAGAGGATGGCACGGAACTCGAGCTGACCCTCGACGGAGAAGTGCTTGACAGAAAGATGGTCCTCCCAGTCGTTGGTTAGGGCCTTGTAGAAGGAGGAGTACTCCTCGTTCGTGATTTCATCGGGGTTGCGGGTCCAGAGCGGCTTAGTCTTGTTAAGCTCCTCAGTGTCGAGGGTCTTCTCCTTAATCTTCTTGGTCTTCTTCTTCTCCTTCTTCTCTTCTTCCTCCTCATCAATCTCCTCAATCTTGGGCTTCTCCTCATCGGCCTGTTCTTCTTCTTCTTCCTCATCGTCTTCCACTTCCTTCTCAACCTCCTTCTCGACGACAAGTTGGATGGGGTAGCCGATGAACTCGGAGTGCTTCTTGACAATGTCCTTAATCTTCTTCTCCTCAAGGTACTCGAGCTGATCCTCCTTCAGGTGCAGGCGAATCTCAGTACCGCGACCGAGCAGTGGACCAGTGGTATCACGAGTACTATAAGTCGATGCAAGAGAAGGAGGAAAAAAAAAAAAAAGTTTGAGTATTTGCTGCATTACGTCGTCTGAACGGCATTATCACGTGGCCCAAGTAACGACGTCATAACCCTCATGCAACACCTTTGGGTTCCACGCCCAAGAGATTAAAAAGTAAGAATAAAAAATACATACATGGTGAAGGAGCCGCCAGCAGCAGACTCCCAGATATACTGCTCATCATCATTGTGCTTGCTGACGAGTTGGACTTTGTCGGCGACAAGGTAGGCGGAGTAGAAACCAACACCAAACTGACCGATCATGGAAATGTCGGCACCCGAAGAGAGGAGCTCCATGAAAGCCTTGGTCCCGGACTTGGCGATCGTGCCGAGGTTGTTGACGAGGTCAGCCTTGGTCATACCGATACCAGAATCGCGGATAATGAGAACATTGTGCTCCTTGTCGGGGATAATACGGATGAAGAGCTCCTTGCCAGTGTCGAGTTTGGCGGGATCAGTGAGAGATTCATAACGGATCTTGTCCTGTGGTGGTGAATAAAGACGGGTAGAGAGGAGGAACGCGTGAATTAGCACAGACGAAAGGGGATATGACGCGTGTTGGTGGAGTGGGAGTCGCAATAATAGGTGTTTTATGATTGTAGACGCGCAAGAGGTAAAAAAAAAAAGGAGAGACTATGAAGCTAGGCTATAGAGCTAGGCTAGGCTAGGTCACGTAGAGAAAGATTTATATCAACATACCAAAGCATCGGAGGCGTTGGAAATCAGCTCACGAAGGAAGACCTCCTTGTTGGAATAGAAGGTGTTGATGATCAAGCTCATGAGCTGAGAGATCTCAGCCTGGAAGTTAAAGGTTTCGGTCTCGACAGACACGGTTTCGGTCTCGACAGACATGGTTTCGGGCTCGACAGACATGGTTGAGGTTTTTTTTTTTTGAGAGAGTTATTTGGGAGTTGAGTTGGGGTGATTATTCGTGAAGAGGAAGAGAAGAGACAGCCAAAGAGATTTTTTTTTTCCGCACAAAGAGAGAGAGCAAGGCGGATAGGCTGGGCTGGGAAGGGGGAGTTCTTATACGAATCTGGCCACGAAAATTTTCGCCAGCTTCGATCGCGGTCCAGAGTCACTGGGCCGCCAATCATGACGCGAGAAATGTGAGGAAAGTGCCAGAAGGACCGGATGAGACTGTGCCAGCTCAAAAACCCTTCGAGGAAGGTGCTGGAAACTACCGTCAACAAAGCCACCATCGCTCAAACCCTCTCTCCACCAACCACTCTGTGGCTCGTCTCCTTTTTGTGGCATGTGTCAAAATGCTCCTGAAACCCGCCAATCGAAAACCGTATCCCTTAACGTGAACGGTACATTTTCTGTTCTCTCGCTTTCTCTCGCACGAAACATGTGGCGCGGCAAGTCCTCACGTGATTGCTACTCTGATGTTTTTGCGTCTTTCTATGAAGTAATGAAACAACGGCTCACTGATCAGTCTCACCGGTGACGCCAAAATGGGGGCGGCGAAACTAAATTCCGTCAACGAAACGATCCGTGTAAAACTTGATTGATATATTACTTTCATTTCTGGAGACTGTGATGCTGCGGCGCTCCGACATATAAGGTAAACTTTAAAAAGAGAGTTGAATAAACAAAGACCTCCTTTGTTTGTGGCTCACAACCTCCTTTTTTTTTTTTTTTTTTTGCTATATACACTTCTGAAAACAGCCAAAACACCCCCAAAAGAATTCTTCCGACACAGTCATCACGTGAAGATTGGTGAGCAGTCAGGTCGTGTTTTACATGAAAAAAATTACCCCACCTCAAACCTCAAACATGACTTTGATTTTATTCCAATTTTTTTATCACAAAAAAATAAATAAATAAATATAATATTATAACAGACTTATTAAGTTTTGCCCCCGAGGAAAAAAAAAAAAAAAAAAAAATCAAAACGTGCTAGTACATAAAAAAAAAATGTACCAGCACATAAAAAACTTCTCAGTAAAAATGCGATGTCCGGGAATCGAACCCGGGGCTAAAGCTTGGGAAGCTTCAAGTTTGCCACTAACCTAACATCGCTTTCGTGTTGTGGTACTCAGGCAATATATTATTTTATGCATAACCGAAACATCACGTCACTACATAACTAATTAATTAATTAGTTTTTTTTTTTTTAAAAATTTCTCATCCCTAGGGAGTCTAGATTGATATAAATAATTCTGACGATGCTAAAATATGTATTCCTGGGTAAATACCTATTTCTTCTGCAGTCAGCGTGAAATTGACATCCAGGCGGTCGCTAATGATATGGTTTATTTACAAAAAAAAAAAAAAGAAAAAAAAAAACAAAGAAAACAAAAAAAAAAAAAAAAAAAAAGAAAAAAAAAAACTAGGATTACCATTCAAAAAAAAAAAAAAAAATTATACCGGATGTTTGCGTATAGCTAATGTTCTCTCACCATACGAATATTGATAAACATTGGCAAATAGGTTGCTCGTAATAGTAGTATATACATACATATTGCTAGTAAGATAGCACGAAAGCCAAAAAAAAAAAAAAAAAAAAAAAAAAAAAAAAAAAAAAAAAAAAAAAAAAAAAAAAAAAAAAAAAAAAAAAAAAAAAAAAAAAACACCACTATGGCAACACCTGCTATTACTAATTGCCCTCAACGCCTGCATCCATATGGCATCGAATAGCCGGTTGCGTAAGGTATCGAGTACCCTACAGGCCCCGAGTTATAGCATTGGTTGTACCCATAGGGGCCAGCGCAGCTATCGTACCCATTGGAGGCGACGTTTGAGCAGGTGTTGGAACAGCAGTTGTTGCTACCCGAGACAATGCCGGTGTTGTATCCCGTGACACATCGTTTTCGCATGCAGGATGTCTGGTCGCACCGCTTGAAGAAGCGGTTGGGAGAAAAACCCGAGCCGTAGGCGGGACTACGTCGGTCCAATGCGAGCGGATGAGAAGCTGCCGACGGTGGATTGATGAAGGTGGAGAGAAGCAAGAGAAAGGTGAAAGAGACCAGGATGTGGAATGGAGTATGGGATTTGTATGCGAGCATGGTTAGATAGGTTTTAGTGAATGGAATTTGGAGATGTGTATGTAAACGCTGTAGATATTGTATGTAAACGCTGTAGATATTGTATGTAAACGCTGTAGATATTACGAGGGGGCGACAGCTTTCTTTTATGCACCGTCCGATTTCTAGGGTTTGGATAACTGGCGTAGTTCAATTTGTTGTGCCCATAATAAATCTTTATATTTATCAACAGAAATAATTGCTCATAGATTGGCAAAATCACAATCTCAAACACGAACCCGTAGCCAGAAGTCGCAAATATAAACCAATTATGTTGATATAAACTATTCTATATATCACAATCTTACAGCACGAGCCGACTCAATCGTCCCGATATCAATCCACGATAAATTGTCTTGGATGCAAGACGAGACAAAACGTGACTTGAAATGATTGGCATAAGACATCAATAGATTTACAACCGCGAGGCGCAGTATTTTAGGATAAAAAGGAGGTGACGTTATGTATTTTTGTGACTTGTATAGACGCGAGGCTTGGCCTTGAGACGAAACTCCATCATGAATCCTCCCACTCGGTTGCCACAACAGCCTTCCGGACCCTCCTTCTCAGCTGCTCCTCACGCCCCCGTACCCCACGTACATGAGAATGCCGATGTCATCCCTGAAATCCATGCCGAAATCGCCGCACCCAGCAGGCCGTCCCCAATTTTGGCCTACCTCGAACCCGACCAGATCGTGTCCGAGTCATCCCAAAAGTATATCGAATGTTTGAGGAGGTGGTATTGTGATTTGATGAATCTTCTTGTTAGCGGTATCTTTGTGGGTCGCATATTCTTGGAAGAGAGATGGGACGTGTCGAGCGCAGCTTATGGAATGTTCGAGCCGAAAATACAAGACTTTCTCAAATTCCTCAGGACATGGTGTTTCATTGCCCCGCAGGTACCGATATGGGAGGTTGAAGAACCAAAGCTTTTTAAAACTCTCGACAACGCTGGTAATGAAAAACGACAGGACAAGGCCGGGGGGGAGGATAGTGACGGAGAGCAAGTAGGAAAGGCAATCACAGACGATGATGGAACGGAAGCGATTTCACGAGGTTTCGACCACAGCATAGCGACTATTCAACCTGACCTCGATGGCATTGTTGGCCTAGAAGCGCAAAAACGAACACCCAAAGCAACACACAACATTGACGCCGGTGTCAAAATAGATGACATCACGTCAAAACCGGATTTCCACCCTCAAAAGTGTGAGTTGAATCCCGACCTGAATTCGCCCGTTCGCAAAGCGCTCAATGAGGTTTCTCGTGCTATTTCCGCTAGGCACGTCATCCCCTTTCAACCACACTGCGAACGCACCCTCACTGAGCTCACCGCGATCGACGAACGGCTTCAGAGCGAAATAAGTGCCGTGCAACCGGGAAAGCTCTCTATGTCGAAAGTAATTTACTTGAAATTAAATGCTCTCTGTAAAGCGAACCGTGATATTAAGAAGGAAGTCGTCGTCTGGGTTGAAAAGGCAACGGAAGCTTGGGAAAAGGTAAACGAAGAACCGCAAGAGGTCAGGGAGTACCTACAGGAGCTAAAAGGCATGATAGCAAAGAAATTGGATAAAATGTACGAGAGGACCGAGGTGCCTTGATGAGGAAGATTTTGGGTTGGGAATAATTAACAACAGGTTAAGCAATAGAATTGGAAGGATAGGCAATTTTTAATTACAATCATTATTTTGACTCCGCCCCTTTCCCACACAAGGTATCTGAGCTCGAAAACTTTTTATCCTCATCATTGACATTGCGTGAAAAAATCGGTATATCAGAATTATTCCTTATTATTTTTTTTGTTGTTGTTGTTGCTTGTGCTTTTACGGTGTTGTGTGTGTGCGGACGTGCGTGCCTGCGTGTGTACCTACGTATATACCTTGTGTGCATACGTATATTGCGTGTGCACGTGCATGTGCGCATATTCAAAAATCATGTAGTTTTTCATAATAGTTTATAACTTAGCAAGCTAGTTTATAACAACTATTTAGGCTTTATATAACGCTGGCATATCGGGCTTTTATTTCTACAAATATGCAAGGTTATTCCAGCTTGCCATCAGAATTTGATTCAAAGAAGATAGCGTCTCTGACGAATAAAATCTGGGCAATCGCGGCAAAATAATAATAATAATAATAATAATAAAATTCCAATACACGCCATCAGTGCATTATTCGGATTGTCACACTTCCCATACCAGATTCTTGTTGTGTAATGTCACTTGGTCTTTATTGAACGGTTCACTCCTACCCGCGTACCAACAAGGTCCTCTCCCGAGTCGACATCTATAAAGGCCAGAAACAACAACATTCTGCTTTGTGACCCTCTTACTAATAAAGTACAATCAGTGGACAAAAAAAAAAAAATAAAATTAAAAAAATAATAATTTTTTTTTTTTTTTTTTTTTTTTTTTTTTT